CTAGGGAAACGCGCACTGAGTGACAGGAAGCGTCGTGACCGCGTGACCGTCCGGGACAGTGCAGGGCCTCTGCATGTGCAGGCCGCGCGTGCTGGGTGCTCGTGCGCCCGTCAGAGCCCTCGCAGCAGGAGAAGGGCACTCCCCCACACGAACGCACACAGAGCCTCACGCGAACTCGCCACGGGCCGGCAGTGTGCGCGTGGTCCGCACACGTGAGCAGCCGATCTGAGCCGTGTGCCGGTCGCTGCCCCTTCCTGGCAGTTTCGTCCTCGGGGGACGGACATGGCCCGGCTGACGGGTGCTGGACCGGGACGGCGCCGGGCACGGGCGGTGCCTTGACAGCCAGCCCCACTGCCGTGACCCTGGCGAGCATGCTGAGCACCACGGGTGACAGCAACCCCATTCATTTCTCCGACGGGAGCACCACCGGCCACCGCGAGGGCTGCCCTGGGCCCGAGTCTGTTGGGACCTCGAGGACAGAGGACGCCCAGCCCAGCGCTCACGGGGCCCCGCACTCTGGTGGCTGCTACAGGGCCATGGACACTTCCTGCCCTGCCCACTGAAAAGCTGGGAAAGGCCACGCCCGGGTCAGCACTGGGTGGCAGGCAGTTCGTGCCCCACAGGCCCGGCAGCAGGGGCAGGTCTTTGCGGATGGCCAGGGTGGGGGTGGGGGACAAGGGCAGGAGTAACTCAGAGTGGCTGTGACTCGTGGGAGGTCACCGACCCTGCGGTGTGTCCCCAGGTGGTCCCCACGACCCTCCCACCCGCACAGCGGGCAGTGGCCTGGGTGCTGCATGGTTCAACTGCGTCTCCGGCCACCGGTGTGGACGTTGTCAGAGCCCTGCGCACAGTAGGCAGACACTCCCTCCTAGGTCGCCACCTCCCTGACGCCCGCAGTGCGGCCTGCGGCTCCCACATGCCTGGGCCCCTCCCCGTTTGCTGCCTGGGAGGTGCTACCCTGAGGCCGCGGCTGTGTGGGACAGACCCCTGGGCCGGCGGGGGCGGCCTGTGGCCTCCTCCTGGGGAGGGGCCGGAAACAAAACAAGCACAGCCCTTGCGGGACCTCCTTGAAGGTCACCTTCCAAAACGTCCCTATTCCGGACAGCCACTGGCCACTGACGTGAGGAGCCCCCTTCAGAAGGCAAACGAGGCGCCTTCACCTGTTTCGTGACCCCTCGCCCAGGGAGGGGAACAGGGTGCGTTCCAGGGTTCGGGCAAGTCCACCTCCTACCGATGACCCAATGACCCAATGACCCAATGACCCACGCGTGCAGGACGGGCTCCTTTCTGACCCGGCGCCCCTGGGGCCGGCGTGTCCCCGTCCCCTGCAGGGCAGGTCCTTGAACAAAGCTGCACGTGGCCGCGGGTCTGATCTCCGACAGCCAGGTGGGACGAGCCCACCCCCCAGGCCCCGGTGCAGGGTGTGCTGGGGGCAGAGAGGCCACCGAGAGGCTGTGTCCACGTAGATCTGACCGCGTCCGGGCCAGGCCGGCTCCTCGGCCCGGAGCGTCCCCTGTGGAGGCGGCTTCCCTGAGGTGGACCAGTGCCGGCCTCCTGGCCGTTCCCTCTCCCTGGCCAAGCCTGGCCATTAGCAAGCAGGTGCCCTCGGCTGGACACCTGCTGGTTAATGTCACTGACCAGTCCTGCCTCCCGGAGTGAGTGTGGGACTGTCCCCTCCGCCCCACGATCTCGTTTCCCGGAAACTGTGGCTCTCCTCGGCCGGTCTCTGTCCCCTCCGCGCCCGGCCCGCCTGGCCTGTGCATGACTGCTCCATCAGCAGCCCAGTGCAGGAGGTCACGAGGAGGGGCAGGGGGGGTCCGGTGTGGACCGAGGGCACCATCCTGCCCAGGATCGTCTTTGTCCCGTCGCCACGGCTCAAGGTCCCCGGGTGAGCGCGCCCACAGACCGGCCTTCTGCGCGGTTTCAGCTCCGCGCTTCTGCAGAGCTCGGCGCCAAAGAAACGACGTTTGTGATAAGGAGAAGCCGAGAGCCTCGGGACCGGCCACATCAGGGCTGCGCCCGCTCCCCTCGAACTCCTTTGAACGCGTCCTGAGGGGCGAGGCGGCCTGGAGGAGGCTGACCGGAACCGCGCCCGGGCTGGCTTCCTGCCTGCCCCCCGCCCCCCGCCCCCACTCTGGGGACCAGGCTGGACCCACCGCCCGCAGGCCCTCATCCACGAACTTGCGGGCGGCGCAGGGCGACGAAACTACTCGTGGGTTTCACCCCGGGCCGTCCTCCTCGGCCACCCGCTGAGTGGCCCGCGCTCGGGGCGGCCCAGCCGACTCCAAGGAGTTAGGAGCCCGGGGGAGGGGGAGGGGGCCCGCTGGGCGGCGGGGAGGGGCTCAGCGGGGACCAGCCTGGGCCCAGCCTGGACTGCTCTCAGGCCCGCCGCACCCTCTGGAGAGCCACCCCCCCCCCCCCGCGCCGTGGGTCACTCCAGCCGGGCCGCGACTGCCCCGGGGGCGGGACCCAGGAGGGTGGAACGGCGTGGAGTCCGGGCCACAGAAGGCCGCGAGCCCCCAGCCCAGCCCCCCTCCCCCACCCCGTCGCGCTGATTAGGAAACGGGGGGCGACCCCACGCGACAGCCACAGTCGTGCCTCCCCCCCCCCCGCGCTGGTCCTGGACCTCTGAGGCCGCCGAAATGAGGGTGGGGAGAGACTCGGGGTGTCACTGAGGGGGCTGTAGGCCCCGGGGCACGAGGGTCGCCTCCAGCCGCTGTGGTCGGTGCGGACGTGAGAGGAGGTGGACTGGGGGGGTCCCTCGGCTTCCCTCCCCTGCGCACCCCTAGACCTCGTTCCTGCCATAACGCGCCCAAAATTTGGTCTCGACGGGGACCGGGCGCCCACGCGCAGACCCCCCCCCGGGCGCGCTCGCGGGTGACGCCGGTCCCCGCGCCCAGGCCGCCCCGGCTGGCGCAGGGGGCGGGGCGGGCAGGAAGTGCCATTTAATTGGGGAAATGCGCGCCGCGGGCCGGGCCGCCTTTGATGTGCGCCGGGGGCGGTGCTGCCCCTCGGCGCCCGCGAGCCCACCCGCGTGCCCCCCGCCGCCGCCCCCCCCCCGAGCGCGGCCGCGTAGCTCCAAGGACGCGTGACATTGATTTCCACCGGGGTGGGAGGCCGTGGGTCTCATTCTGCGTCCAATGTCAGGCAGCTCACGCGGATCCCTTTTCGTCTCTCTCCGACCCCCCGGGCCTCCCGGCTCCCCGCGCTCCCTGGGGCGGGGGCGGGGGCGGGGGCGGGGGCGAGCACCGAGGCGGCGGGCGCGCGGCCGGAGCACCCCAGCCCGGAGCGCCTCGCCTCGCCTCGCCTCGCCTGGCCTCGGCCCAGCATACGTACACATAGAAATATAGTCCTCGTCCGAATGACATTCCGCTCGCTCTGCCTGCCCCCCCCCTCTTTCCATCATCAGCAAATAAAGATCAGCTGGGCAGATTATAGAAAGCGTTTTCGGGCTGCTGCTGATCTTTATTCCAGAGGCTTTGTGATGATATTGATGATGATGATGGTCAAGTGGACAGTTTGATTTTTGTGTTTGGAGCTAGTTATAAAGAATCAATATTATATCAAGGGGTAACTTTCGTGATAAAGGACTTTAACCACTCCGGCTATTCATCATAAGTCTGTAGCAAGCAGATAGGTCAAAAGAAATTATATTGCACTAAAGAGTGAGTCTTCTTATCTCGCCCATACCAGGGGAATAGGGACAAGCCGATCGATACAGTAGCTGCTGTATACTTCTTGCAATTATCAATAGCTGATTTCGCCTTTTGAGGCCTGCATCTAATAATGCAAGCTAATAATAATCGTTTGAGCCCCCCTGCAGGGGAGGGGGCCCAAGTTTGAGCTGGCCAGCACCGTCCCTGCCGCCCTGCGTCCCTGCCCCTCAGCCTGGACACGCAGTGGGAGGGTCACGGAGAAGCACCTCCACGCCACGTGCACCCCTCCGTGTGAAGGGGCGTGTGCCCCCGTGCGTGACATGGGAAGCCACGGGGCGTGCTTGCATGTGATGCACACGAGGGTCCTGGCACACGGCTGTGGATGGATACGTGCCCCCGGCCCTCTGCTCCCTGTTAAAAAATATTTACACGTGTAAGTGGGCTGAAAAGCCAGAGTGGGCGGCAGAAGTGTGGGAGGGCAGTTAGCTCTGTGCCGGTTCATTTAAATACAGCGTTTCATTCTGGCAGGGCCGTAGCCCTCCAGTGGGGGGGGCAGGAAGCCTGGGAAAAGTGCCTGCAGTAAAGCCGCAGACACGGTTTTGGGCTCCGTGTTTCCTGGTGCCCCCCCACCCCCCGCGTACGAGAAAGGCAACATCTTTGTAATTGGCACTTGACATGCTGTTTGGGCTGGGCGCCGGTGCGCCGAGCACAGATTTCATGTTGATGGAAACATTTATCATTGTGATTGCTCCAGAGTGGCAGGTGGTGTTATCAATTACCCCTTCTTACCAATAATAATATTAGTATGGTAATATCTTCGCTCAAGTAAGAACCAATTAGCGGTCACTTGTCACAGCAGTGAAGACACACAATCAGCCTGGATGCAAACATACGGACCTAAAGCGCAAGTGAGGGGAGGGGGCTGAGCCAGAGAGGGGGAGAGGCCCGGGAGCAGAAGGGAACTTTGATCTGGGGGCACAGCGCAATGAAAGGCGACAGAAAACGAAGCCCTAATATCTGTACGCTCGTTCTGCGCGAAGCGGCCGGGCGGGCAGGCGCGCGGGAGCGAAGTGCCAAGTGCACCGGATGTAAGCCGTCTTGCGGCCGCAGAGGCCCGAGCGTCAACCAGCGGGGGCCGGAGCACAGAACCAACTTCCAGCCTCCAGCGGCGGATCAGTCCCGCAGACAGGCCGTTTTGTCTGAATAAATGACACAAACTAAATCCAACACCTAATTGTACGTTCCACTAATGCAAAATGTACAGTATTAATTTATAAATAATATTATTAAGCAGACAAAATAATAACGTGTCACCTCTTAAGATGAAAACATTGCAAGAGGAAAGACAATTAACAAATTAGATTTAATTATAGGGAAGAAAAACAACTTTTGTTGTTGCCGCGGTGTTTAGGTATCCCGACACTGTAACAGACGGCGGTCAGGGCGCGGGGCGCTGGCGCGCGGCGGTCCCAGCCGGCCGCAGCCCGGGCCACCTCCGCGAGCCCTGACCGGGGCGGGCGTCCTGTCCTCCTCCGCAGCAGTGTCCTGTTCGCGCGTTTTCACCTTGAAATAAAGCTACTGTAGCGCTCAGGCTCACGTCGCATATATTTTCACTGAAACTTGCTACATTGAGTAAAAACAAAGAAAAGTTTCAGATCTGAGTGGAAGGAGGCCTGGGAGGAAGAACAGGTGAGTCAGGAGGGAACGCGACTTTTGTTTCACTTTTACCTTTACTTTTTTCCTGTTGCTCACCCCGGTTTAGGAAAAGGGCGTGCCCGCAGAAGTGCCGGCCCGCACCATTTCAGCAGCGGGGGGCGGGCGGGGCGATTTGTCCGGGTTTCTGTCTCACAGCCTTCCTGACCCTTTCGCTCAACTCTCTGCTCCATCTTCTCAACGAAATCCCAGCGCAGCGCTCGCGCCGGGCGCCACGGAGCCTGCGCCTGCACCCACCGGCCCACCCGCGGCCCCTGCGAGGGGGCCCCACCCGGGGCAGGCCGGCCCGCGCGCTCCGCGTCCGGTACTCGCGCCGCTCTCTCGGTGCGAGCCGCGGTGTCGGGCGCAGCGCCGAGCAGCCAGCGGGACTTTCTCCCTGGCAAAGCGCATCCCGACTTGCGCGACCCCTCTGCGAGCTGAAGGCTTGCTCCTCGCAGAGAAAAGGGCCGGGGTCTCGGGTTCGCCCTCATTGGAGGCCGAGGACCACCCCTCGTGGAAAACGCAAAGCAAGTCGACGCAACTAAACATCTGCGTCTGGAAGTCCCAGAAAGACCCTGAGAAATCGTGCAGGGTGGTAGAGAGTGGGCAGGGGGCATGGGGGGCGGCGAACGGCCTTGGGAACAACAAAGGTGGGGACCGGGGCGCACGGAGTGACCGGGATAGGAGGGGTCACGCCCCGGGGGCCAGGAGGCTGCAGGGAGGCAGGCCCAGGCTTCCTCCGAAAGCTTCGGACGCCGCAGGAGCCACTTGCTTCTTTTCCCCAAAGAGTGGGGGGGGAGGGGAGAGAGAGAGAGAGAGAGAGAGGAGAAGAGAAGAAGAAAAGGGAAAAAAAGAGAAAATTAACCAGGTCACATAAGCAGCGCACCTCCAACGGGGGAGGGGGGTGACCCACCGAAGATCCTTCTGCCGTCTCTCTCTCCTAGAAAGCAGTCACCTCACGACGTCTGCCTCTCCCCTGCGGCGCTGCCGCTCCCCCAAACTCTAGGCTGTCCTGTAAATTATGCAGAAACCTCCACTCTCCGTAGCCGCCCCCACCCTCTGCCCCCCTTTCCCCGGGAAGTGCCTGGCCCCGTGAGCCCCAGAGCCTGACTGCAAACTTTCCACCGCCGCGCGCTTCCGCGCCCGAGGCAGGGGCGTCCCCTGGATGCTCCCCACTTCTGCACAGCTCACAGCGCAGTAGCGCAGTGAGGTGGTTCCCCCCGTGGCTGAGCCGCACGAGCACCGTCGCGGTGTGGGGGGCACAGCTGTAGCCTTTGGACATCTTGTTTCGGTCATTTTCCTCTTTGCAAAAACAAAATCACTGAAATGAATACGCCTGCCACCAAAACGTAAATCAAAAACATTAAGGGATTTTTTTTTTTTTTTTGGTAAAAGTGGCAGCGGGGACTGGAGACAGTTCCAACCCGGACGCCCCCTTCCTCGGTATGATTTCCCTGCGCTGCCCTGGAGCCCAAAGCTGTTGCTTCGTGAAACTTACACAATTACAGGCGGGCGGGAGCAGCAGGGCTGGGAAGCGGGAAGGTTCTAGAATGGGAAAACAGCCTGCGGTGAGCCCGGCGAGCGGCGCAGGATCGGGGTCCGTGCTGGGGGGCGGGTGTCCCACAGCCAAGCAGAACACCGCCGCCAGCCGCGCCAGGAGCTCGCAGCCCTCTGGGTGCCCGGGGCTGCCTGGTCACCGCCGGTTTCCCCTCCTGCGCACGACACTGGGGAAAGCGCCAGGAGGCCATCCGTGCCAAAGCTACGAACTAGACAGGGCCACTTGCAAGGACAAAAAATCAGAAATTTAGTAAATTAAAGAGGCACACTGGGGCGCGGGAAGCGGGCACGGTTACGGCGGGGCCTCGGCACATCCTGACTGCCGCTGGGGTATGGAGGACACGCGCGGGAGTGAGCGCGGGAGTGGGCGAGGGCGCGTGTGCACGACTGCGGGTGGGGGTGCGCGCGCGGCTGCGAGGGCGCGTGCCTGTGACCGCCGGGGAAGAGTGGGTGCGCGAGCGGGGAGCGCGCGGCGCTGGCCGCCCACCCGAGGGTGCCAGTCCAGACGTGCGCGACCCCCTCACCTGCCCCGCCCCCACCAAGTCACCCCCCAAAGCCCTATAACACCGTGGGCTGCGCTCGGACTTTCGTGGACTTAGAACTTTCAGTCTCGCGGCCTGGGGGCACCCTGTGCCCCTGCCCACGCTGCAGGTGCCGCGACCCCGCACGCGACGGGAAAGGGAAGTGGGGGAGGAACATCGGGCCCCGCGGTCCCCTCCCTTCCCCCCGGATCCAAGGAGCCCTGGCGGTAGCGAGGCCCAGCGGGCGGGCGAGGGGGCCGCGGCTGCCCGGGTGGTGGCGGCGGGCGGGGCGAGCGCTCCGCAGTCGAAAGGGCCCGGGGTGGGGGGGCGGGGAGAAGGGGGGAGCGGAGGGGAGGGGGGACTGAGGGTGGGGAGGGGAGGAGCCGGGAGGCCCGCGCCGCTTCCGAACCGGAAAGTTGGTCTTGCCGAAGTCCCGCCACCCCGGCGTGCGCACTCCGCTCCGCTCCGGCTGCGAGCCTCCGAGCCGCGCCGGCCGCCGGAGGAGCCCGCGGAAGGGACCGAAGCCGGGAGAGAAGGTCCGGAGAGAGGGGTCACCTGAGCCGGAGCGGGGCCGGCGCGCCGAGCTACGCCGCGACCGGCCACCGAGGATCGAAGGCGACTGGCCGGCCCTCCGCGCTCCGGAGCGCAGGAGGCGCGGCGCCCCAGCGGCCGGGGAGACAAAGGCGCCGGCCGGAGCCCTGCCCGCGGCCGCTCGCTCCGGGAGGGGCGGCCGGGCGGCGGCGGCGGGGGGGGCGGGCGGCGGCGCAGACACTCTATAAAGGGGTGAGCCCGGCGCGCCGGCGGAGACGGCGCCGCGCGGACGCCGCCAAAGTTTGCTGCCTGCGCCCTGGGCAGGGGCAGCCGCCGCGCCCGCCCGCTCCCGGCCGCCGAACGGTACCTGGGCGCCGGGGAGCGCAGAGCTCGCGATGTAGGCGGTGCCGGGCCGCGCGCTCCCAGGTCCCCGGGCGCCGGCCGCCTCCCAGCCCGCGCGGTCGCTAATTGCGAGCGCGGCCTCATTTGCATAGGCCGCCAGAGTCCGCTGGAGGCCGGCCAATCCGCGCGGCCCTCCGCTAATGGACATGCATTATTCACCAGCCTAATTGCTCAGCCCCATGCGCGGCCCGCGCAGCCGCCGCCGCCGCCGCCCGCGCCCCGCGCCCCGCGCCCGCCCGGCCGCCCCGCGCCGTCCTCGCCGGCCGTCCCGCTGATGCCGCTGCCCCGCGTGGGGCCCGCGCGCCGCTAGCAGCATGTCTCGGCGCAAGCAGGCCAAGCCTCAGCACCTCAAGTCGGACGAGGAGCTGCCGCCGCCAGAAGGGGCTCCGGAGCACGGTGAGGGGCCGCGGAGTGGCGGGGGCCTGGGGACAGCAGGGCGGCGGGGTCGACCGCGTGCGGAGGACGGGGTCGGGTCCCTGGACCCAGCGAGCCAGGGTCTGCCGCGCGGCGCCTGGCCGGAGCAGGCGGGCCGCGGCGACTGGTCCTCCGCCAGAGCGCACGGCGAGGAGAGTTGCGGACGAAGTAAACTTGGCTCAGCCGCTGGGAGTTGGGGAGCAACGCGCGGCACTGGGCGGGGGCGGGAGGGGTCCGCGCCGCCTCTTCCACGCCGCCCCCCGGGCTCTCCGCGCCCGGACCTGGAGCTGGCCTCCGCGACCCCGCGTCCCTCTGGCGGGCTCAGCGGCGGTTGCGCGTCCGAGGCTCACCTACCGCTGTACGAGGGCCGAGCAGCTTTGTTCCGCGCCGGTCGCCTCGGGCGATCCGCGGTCTAAGCCGGGCCGCCGCGCGGACCCGGGCCTGCCCCCGCCCGGCACAGTCCGCCTTGGGCGCCCCGAGGCCGCAGAGCTGCGAGTCCCGGCGCGCTGACAAACCAGCGATCCGGTTCCGAAGCGAGCAGGCACTGTCGCCAGGCCTTGCCTAATGGCCGCCTGGGGACCTAACCTGGGATGAGCTCGGCCGCGGCGCTGGGGGGTGTTCTGCGCACGCGGCGGGCCCGGCACGTCCTGGCGGCTCCAAGTTTCCTCGGCCTGCTCGTGTTCCCGCGGCGCCGCGGGGACCTCCTCCTCGCCCCCGAGTGCAGGCCGCCGCCGCGCTGGCGAGTCCCGCGCCCGCGGCCCGGCCTCGTCCCGGGAAGTTTTGGGCCCGAGTCCGCGCGGAGCTGCCCAGGGCCCTCGGGGTCCCCGGAGTGCGACACTGGGACGCCGGGCGGGGGGGCGCGGGGGGGCCACGGCTGCACCGCAGCGCGGACATCGGGTAGCTCGTGCCTTAAAAAAGACGCCGGCCAACTTTGGGGTTGACCGGTTATGAATTGTTCGGAGGCCGATACGCATCTTATTTTACCAGGAGGATTAGGCTTCCTGCAGAAAATCACAGGAATGCGCGGTGACCACACGGTGCGGTGAAGTTTGACAAAGCAGGTACCCAGTGCGCCAGGACGCGGCCGGGAACTCGTTAAATAAAATCCGTGAGCTGGGCCTTTCTGCCGCTCGGAGGCGAGGCCGCCGAGGCTGTGCGGCCCTCGGCCCTCGTCACCCAAGATTGGAACCGGAGATATGCTAAAAAGAAACGCCTGCATATGGTGGGTGGATTAGGGACAAAGAATCTTTTTGTCATGGAAATGGATTTTTTTGTTTTGTTTACTTCATCACATAGAATTTCTCACACTTGGTTTGTTTTGTATTGCCCTCAATGACTACATGATCAAATGAATGGATTTATTTCTGCCGAATGAGAAAGACCGTCTTCCCTTCAAAAGAGCTACATTGCATCCCAGCGAGGAATTTTAAAGCTTTATTATTGCGGCTCCTGAATAGCTCAGAATCGGCTTTCACAGGCGCCCCAAAACGCAACAATGTAAATACTTCTCGGCTTTGTAGGGTCGTTATCAAAATGTGCAATGTCTCCTTTTATTAAAGCATATTTTAATTAATAGAGTAAAACCCCTGGTATTTAACAGTTACCATGCTGAGGCTCTGCTATTCATTTTTAATTTCGCTCCAGAAGTGTGAGCTCGGTGAGCCTAATAGTGAAATCATGTTAGCGGTGTATCGCCCCTATTTGGAGACCTCGGGTGGAATAAATTATTTACAAGTTCTCTTTTGAATTCCCCTCGTTGTCACCGAATTGACTGAGAGGCGAACCATCCGGGTTTTTGTACCGACAGGAGGGCTGAAGTTTCTGCCGAACCCGTGCTGTTCCGCCATGCCGGGCTG